TGATTTTGAGGGGTACCTCTCCTGAGACTTGGCCTCTGGACATTGAAATGCATTATTCCCATCAGCTCAGGGAACTTGAGGGGTGATTATGCTGCCCAGTATACAGCCCAGTTCGGACAGCATCTCTCATGTATTCGTGTAAGATTGGCCAGTGTCTTGGAACAGGCCCCTGCAATATGTTGTAGACTTTGGATGTGGAAATTGCTCACTGGAGGAATGTGAGAAGGCATAGCACCTAATTTCAAATTCAGTCAAATCTTTTGGAGTTTACTTGGTTCAAATTCTACACTGGGAAGAAAAAAGCAGGCAGATAGCAAGCCAGGAAAAGAGTTATAACTGCATAAATGATACCGTTCACATCTCAAGAGCTGACATGCTACTGAAGCAACACATGTTTTTCAAAAAATAATTATTTAGTCAAAGTGGAAATAATTTCCCACAAACTATTCATAGGTGCTTCTTCTCAAGGAAGGTTGCACATTGACAACATTTAGGACCTGGTCAGGCAGTACCGCAAAAAAAGCAACCCCCCCAAAAAACAACTCAAAGCCCCTATGTGCCCCTATACATAGGGGGAAAAGTTTGAGGTTCTTCACTGTTTCCAAACGCTAAACAACTCATCTATTTTTTTACTCAGCCGTCTGACAAAAAAGCATAAAAGTCTGAGATATTTACAGCTGAAGAAACGGTTTGAGTGGAAACCATTATGCAATTTCAGTCTCTGCAATCCTTATGGTTTCTTTTAGTAATCTGACTTTTTTTACTGAAAACTAGCTCTGGAAAAGAAAAAAACAAATAAACTAATGAGACGTCAAATCAGGGTAATGTACATATTTTCACTGAAAAGGCACCTGCTGCAGGGTTTCTTGTCACAAGGTGAGCATTGGTGCATCCTTGCATTCAGTTGCAGCTCCTGTCACGTCTCCAGAGAGGATCAGCACTGAGGCAGGCAAAAAGTAGACCTGATGTAGCTTTTCAATTGATGTTGCTTGTGGAGAGGAACAAACGGCTCGTCTCCAACTGAGGGGCTGACTCTCGTCATTTATTCATGGCCAGCCCCCTGCCTGGATCGAAATAAAAATGTTTCAAAGACAACAGTGTGGGGGAACTGGAGGACAGCTTGGAGGCACACTGAGGTTAGCGCATTAATTTTTTATCTCTGGAGACTGGGTATCCAATTATGCTTAGAACACACAAACAACTTTGGCTAGTCTCTCCAGCAGAGATTTATCCACATCATAAAATCTGCCATGCAACCAGGCACAACCAGCTGATGCCACGAAATAATACCAACAGGTGGTTTTACAGGTCAAATGTGCAGAGTGACAGGAGCGCAGTGAACTGCGTTCTCATTAACTAACTGTACAACAGATATGGACCAACTTGTACGCAACAGCTAGGCCAGCAATAGCCAGCATAACATGCTTTGTTGCAGAATTGTCATTGGCCAAAGTGCTTGGGGACATAAGACCTGTTCAGTTGCTGTTTATCTCACAGCTGCCTGTAACCAATGCTTCACAAAGCAAATTGCCACTGAAAACTCTTCACTTACATGAACGATTAGCTCCTTTTTAAAGGAGAGGAAGTTTTTTCTCCATACGGACAGACTATCCTACTCTCCTAGGAATTAAGTAAGAGCATTTATACTAGTCCATTCATTCACACATACATTTCAATAGACAGAAGTCTAATGTAATACTTACATGAGAAGTGTCTCAAAATTTGTGAGCACCAGCTGCCCCCAGAGCTGGCCTGTACTCATATATTGAGATGGAATAGAACAGCAGGTGTTTTGTGGCAGTCTTGGATGCACCCTGGGCTCAAAAATCTCACACTATCACTGCCAACATGTGGAGGAAAAGACAGCATAAAAAGAGGCTGAGAATGGTGCGGGACCACGTCTTTTCATTGATGGGTTTGGGGAAGGATGAAGCTCGCTTTTTTGATGGTTTTCTATAACTTTCTTCTCACAATTTCATATGCATGCATGTAAAAAATCAGAGAGGAGGTCAAAAATAAATGTGTGCGTAGGCAGAGGCAAGACTGGATCCTAAGAAAGGGCTATTTCCCTGCATCAAAGGACTAGGTAAGACAGAGAAACTAAGTAACTAAAGCTCTAACAGAGCACAGGCTAAGATGGCACAGGAAAGGCAAAGGCCAGAGAAGACTGTTGAACTGTCTTCCATGTGGAAAGGGTTAACTATAAGTGAGGAAGAAGGACAGAAGGAGAGAGAGATGTAAATAAACAAGACCACTTAGGGACAGTAAGATGTGCCAAGGAAGTGGGACTTTGTGGTTAGGTCAGTCCATGTTCTTCGATACACACCTATGCAGTGGCTCTTAGTCACTGACAGGTTGTTTCTGTCTAAATCTCTTTTCCAGTCCCTGGATAATTTATTGAACTATCCAAATTGGTCTATGTGTGAGAAAAAGTGTAAAGATAAAAGTGGGGAAGCAGGAGGGAGAAAAAGAAGAGGCCATCGGCTCTTGAGCTGGCTCCAGCTAGTGGATCAACAGCTGAATCTTGTAGAAGCCCTGCTCCAGAAAGCTTCCTCCTGCATCAGTAAGGCTGCTGTTGCTGCAAGTACTGCTAGGAGCAGTGACAGCAGAGGAGATGTGGGCACAAAGGGAGGAAGTTCCTACTGCAGCAGTCTGCCTGAACTTTGTTGACCCAGTCCTCACCTCCCTCAGCATGACAAATTCCAAATGGCTCATTTGGATTTGCCTTGCCTTTTCTAAATCAGGCTGCTCGTATCTCTCTGACACACTGCTAAGCAAATAACCAGACCCTGCTATATACCATATCTCTGGTCCTCCTGTTCAGTAGGTTGCGGATTAGCTGTTTGGATTAACATCCCCCTTCCTCCCTCCCTTTTTCCCTCCCTCCCAAGCCCATGCAGAGAGGATTCTTGAAGCCCAAGCCCTGCAACACTGCAGACCTGTCAAATCTAATTCATAACACATGCCTAGCAGTTCTTAGGGGAGAGGAAGGATCTGATGCCCTGGCTCCCCACCATCCCCCTGTACAAAGGGACCATTTAATGACTGCACATTAGCAATGTGGACAATTAGCATTCACATGGAAGATGAATGGCAGCATAAATTAAATATTGCCAAGTGAAAGAGCAAAGATGCAAGATCTAAGCTCAAGGCTGTAAACAAATAAACAGGCAAAAAGGAACAAACAGCCACTGCGACAGCTAAGCCATTTGAGAGTTACCTTCCGGCATCTGGGACCTTCCCCAGAGGGGATCTTCACATTCACATGGCTCCTGGCTAGCTGTTAAGCAGATTCTTCCTGCTCAAGAATCTGGATCTCATAACGATCTAGGGGAACACAGGGGCTCTGGAGGATCACAAGCCCAACCAGCTCCCACTCTCTGCTTTCCCATGGCGCAGAACACACCTCTCTTTGCAGGGGCCAAGGCTTGCTGCTTAAAAGCAAGAACCTAACCTTTCCTCAGCTCTTCTAGCTCCTCTTCTTGCTAACTTCTATCAATCTCTAAGCACCAGAAACATAAGGACCAAGACTGTCCTCAGCCTCTGTGACAAGCTCAAGGGTATGGGACACTACTCGTCTTTGTTTGGCCATCTGTGCATGACCATTATCAATATTAATTCAATACAAACTTGCAACATGCCTCTCAGATATGCAAGTATTACTAACTACTGCATGGACAGAAAAAAAAATTCAGAGCTAAAATAAATTCTAAGTAAACGAAAGGTACTGGTTGAATACTGACATTCTCCAGCCTGCCCAAGCAGTCGCTCTTACTGCACTGACAGCTCAAGTTTATCAACAGCTGGAGAAGTCAAAATTACTTCTGCTGTGAAACCACTAAACACGTGAATAACTAAAAGGTGGAGCATAAAAGTGACAGAAACACAGGGATTGCCAAATGGAAACAGACAAAATGGCCCTTCAAGCTCAGACAGTGGCTAGTAGCAGATGCTTTGGAGGAAGGAAACCCCCTCCCTCTCTCCCTGGGGACAATTATCAATTATCCTGCTTAGAAAGAAAATGTTTTCCTACTTCCATGCTTCTTCCTGTTCTTCTTAATGCAGTATAAAGTGTTTGCCCGTGTATTTTTTCCCATAAGCATTTTATTCCTTTGTCCACATTGTTCATTACTTTGAACTAAAATGACACATTCCACAGGGTGATCTGAAAGGACTTTTTGTAAGTGAACAAAGGTATCTACACAAATCCCAAGGTGAAAGCAATTATCACACAGTATTGCACACTGGAAAACTGAGAGACAGGGGCTAAGAGACTTGCCAAGTCTTACAAAAAAATCAGTACTAAAACACAGTCTCCTTGACTCCCAGTTTTACGCCTAAAAAGAAGAGAAGGGACAGTCAAACAGAGCCCTCTGGGCCACAAAATTTGCTTTCAGCCTCGCATTGGTGTGGGGAATCCAGGTTTGTAACTTTTCTCCTCTCGTGTTCCAGTATTCCTCCTTCCAGATCGGTGCTAATGCTTTTCAATCCATAGATTTTCCCAAACTATAATTAAGTAGCAGCTTTTGGTACAAGTGAGGGTACTACTTTTTGCAGGGATAAGGGGGAGAGGTGTTGTGAATTTCATACCCCAAAAAATTGAGACATGGATAAAGGTCTCTTATTCAAAGACAAAAACAAAGAGCGGCCCCTGAAACAGAATATGTTTTTCCTTGACATCCCTGCTAACAGCCACTGGGAGGCTGCTTGATGATGAGCAGGTTGGACATCTCTTCTTTTCCCCACTCTCCTTGCCACCTCCTCCCCACAGGAGCAGTAATGGAAAAGTGACTTGCTGCAGAGATAATGCTAGGTTTGAAATGAATTCCTGACTGGCTGAGCCAGTGTCAGTGTGAGCCACAGCTGATTAGCTCTAAGCATCCAGGTTCCAGTCACTCACAAAGGAGCCAGGCAATCATGCCAGCCTCTGCACAGCAGACACAGGTGGAGGCAACATCATTGAAAAGGATCTGAAAGGCAAAAGGAAAAAAAATACTCACGTTTGTGGTTTTCATTTCTGTGGACAGGGGAGGAGCGGGTCTCCTGCTCTCGGGCTTCATCCCCCTCTTCGCTGGCAAGGTGAGTGTGAGCATAATGGTAGCTCAGTCCAGGCCTGTTCTTGTAACGCTTGCCACAGACTGGGAGGAGAGGAAATATGGGGGAAGGCAAGACAGAGCGGAAACATCAGTACTATCTGCAGCAACAACAACATCCTTTAAAACAACATCCCTTCCCCCTCGACAGCAATACCACGCTCCCGACGATCTTATTTGAAACTCTACCAATGGATGTTAGTGAAAGGTGGCAGAATGCCATCCTGCAGCCTGATGTCCCCAAATAAGCTCTCTTCCCACCATGCTGCCAGCACTCCTTGCAACGGGCCTAGACAAGTGCACTTTTGGTCTCCATAGCCCCGATCCTTTCTGCTGGGGTTACTAACAAGATTGCCCATAAAATCAAATGAAATGGCAGTTGTGATGTTGGTGCTGCACGATGCACAGCAATGAGAACTGAACTGAGAAGAAAGGACATTATTTTCTTGATTACTGGTCTCTGCAAAAAGGAAAAAGTCTTACTTAAAAAAAAAAACCTCATAAAGGTTTTCTTTAAAAGGGTAATTAAATAGGTTTATTCCCAGATTTCCAATCAAGACAAAGAGCTTCTTGCTAGAAGAACATTCAGCAGTGACACTTCTATTCTTTTCCCAGGTAGACTTCGTATTCAGCATGGCAATAAATAATACGACGTGTGACAGAGAATCCTCCTTCTGAACTTTTGTTTATTTTAGGATTAAGCCAACAGACATTAAGAACATTAAGAATTCTGGCTCACAAAAGGTCTATATTTTCACCGGAAGCTCATCACTAGGTCAGACTTTAACATAAGATTCATTACATATAAATTCAGCTTCTATAAATTTTTAATTCATGTTATTATCTCTCAAAATGATTGTCTTTAGAAGTCATCTCTTCATCTTCACAGCAGTCTCTGAAAGTCTATTTTCTTTCAGATACCCGTTTCTTCTACCCAATATCATTATTGCCCTTTTAAAAGATTGAGAAACAAAGATAGAGAAGCTCAGCGACCTCCCTGCAAATTGTTACTCTCAGACACACTTTCAGTCACTGTATTAGCTTCATGAACCTCAAGGATCTCACACAGGAATAAATGGCATGCCCAGTACTCTGTCCCACATAGCTTGCTCAGGAAGGCAAAGAAGTGATGTCAGAAGAATGAACTGGACCCAGCAGTCACTAGTTCTCTTTTTAGATCTCTTGGAAAAAAATCTCCAAGGGGCAGTCACTACCCAATCTTAAAACTTCACTCAGCTGTGATACCTGAAATGTATGCTGCAGTGCATATGCATACTATTTCCCATTCCCCCTACACCTGAGTCTGGGAATGTCATTAAACTCTATAAGCAAAAAATCAAAAAGACCTACCCCAATTATGCACCGGCATCTAAGTAAAGCTTTTATTATTATTCTTTCCTACTACTACTAACAAAAAGCCAACTGATGCTCCACATTCTGGAACAGAGGATAGGAAACTGTAAATCAAAGCCTAATGTGATAATTCAGTTAATTCTCCATTTCTTCTAACTGGTTTGTAAACTCCCTCAAAGAAAATATGTTGTCTTATTAGAAATGTGTAAAACAACCTCAAGAGATATCAAAAGGTAAGTGATCTGGAACATAAGATACTTTTATCCTAGTTTTCGTCATGGGGATCAGAAGACATAAGTATGATACTCACCTTGCCTACATGAAAATAAGAGAAATATATCAAATAGAGAATAAAAGTTGAAAAGTAATGTTTTGTGAGCAAACACACCTGAACAAATACGCTTATGCCCCAGTGAAAACTATTATTCTGCTAGCCAGAAAGAACTCTTCAAGTATAAATTGGAAAGCAAGAAGGAAACTCAGCCTTCATTACATAGTAGAAGTGGCTCTCCGCTGAGAGTGCCCTCAAGACAGCTAAGCATGATGACTGTCTTGCATCCAAGATACCAGAAAGTTTTGGGCTTTAATAGCAGACAATTGGAAATAATTTTAAACTGAAGAGAAGCCAAGTTCCAGTAACTTGGAGAGGAACCCCATGAACATGGGTGAAAGTCTCATAACTTCAGTAATAATTATTCTCATGGAGATCAAAGGATTATCAGGCCCATATGAAACTCATTAGATCAGTAGCGCTGGAGAAAAAAATAACATATTAACTGAAGAATTTCCATAAGGAGGACTAACACAATGTCTCTATGTCACTAGGTCCAGTTTAGCCCGGACTGACAACAACCAAGAATCACTACTGTCGTGACCACTGTAACAACCGTAAGTGCAATTATTTGATGGTATTACAGAAAGACAGTAGTCCCTCCACAGTTAAAGTGGAGCCTCATTTTGATCCTTAAGATTCAAAATAAAGGTCTCCCTTCTCTGAAAATTTTGCAAGCATCTGTCTTTCTTAGACTGCCTCAGAGAAAATCAGAAATCAGTCATCTTTGAAAAGGTCTCCCCTCCCCCCTCCTTTTGGGACCATTTCATCCAAGAATAGTTTATTCAGGAAACTTCAAATGTAGTGAGAGGTGTTGATCAGAGACACTAAACAGGATCAATAGAGAGCAGAAAAGGGTCTCTTAGTCCCAGTTTTTTTTTAATATGGCCTTTTTCCCTTGTGCCAGTAGATTTACAAAAATGTATCCTGGTTGCTGGGAATGTTTTTCATTTATTTAAAAAAAAAAAGAAAAATCAAAGCTATCCCTAGGCACGTTCATTGAACAGGAGACGCATGATCTCTAAAAAACATTGGTTTGGTCTCCCTTCTTCTGGTACCAGCCAGGTACTCTTCTACTGCATTTTGGAGAGGGAAACAACTACTACTCATATACTCCTTTGTGGTTCTACAAAACAAAGTTTAAGCAGAGAAACAGAGGCTGAGCTGACAGGGAGTCAAGAAACAAGGTATTCACAGTTCTGTATGACAGCCTCTACTTTTGAATATCAGAAAAAGTATAACTCTAAAGTAATCATCAATCCACAGATAACTAGAAAATGCTCACCGTTTAAATGATTTCAAAAAGATAACTCCTTCTAATTATGCAACCGTTACAGCATTTCTTAGAACAGACAGATTTACATTCCTAGCAGATTATTTGAGTATCATACTAAGTCTTCTACTCTATCCCACTTATTTGTGTGTGTTTGAAGAGAAAAGTTAAAAATATGTACTTCTGCTATGAATTACTGACACTGCTCAAAAACTTCTGCTTAAATTATCTTCAGAGCATGATCTGATAATCAGTGCTGTACTGACATGGGAGGAGACACTTGGAGATTAGTAGCTTAGCAATATATATTACCCAGTTCTATCTTCCTCTTACACACCTTGATTCTGCATTATTGCTGACTTACGTGCCAAGCCAAACAGATGAACTCTAAAATCCAGTCTCAGTTACCTATTTGAGTTTTTTTTAATTTCAAAGCAAAAACATTCCTAAAAAAGCTACCTGACTCTATTACCTTCAGGCTCTACCTGAAATCAAATCCACAATTCTAGCTCTATAGTTGTTACCTTTTAAAAGCATAGTGTTCTTGAACTTAGGTCTCATCCAGTTTTCTCTGCCAATGCACAGAAGGAAACTTGTATTCCCTGCAGAAAATCCCAAGGCTGTGGCCTTTCCTCCATTCCCTACAGGATCCTGCAGGGATTTTAGCTGCAGAGTTATGGTGGCCTAGGAAATCAGGTGGGTTTGCAGACTTTCCTTCCTCCAGCAAAATATACGAGATCAACAGGAAAAAAACAGCAAGTATTGATATAAGCTGAGGCAGCAGTAATTCTGCAGTTGGGCACTTCCCACTGGCGAAACTCTTTCAAACGGCCAGAGGGCCTTCCAGAGTGGCAGGAACTGAGCCGTTCTTGGTTAAAAATTAAGTCAGAGGACTTCTTAGCCAGAGTTGAGGCAAAAGAGTTTCATTTACACAGTTGCAATGGATCCTTTGTAGGGTCTGTGGATGAAAGATCTACTGCTTCTAGCAGCTTTTTTCTTGGAGTCGAGACTTTTCCTCCTCTCAAATTCATGTTTTATCATGGCAAAAGTCCTAAGCAATGCCATCAGATGAAACCACTGGGATTTCCTATTCCCTATGCAAGTTAGACTTTTGTAGGGGCAAAAAGTATCATGATTTTAATCGGACAAAAGAACCACTGGCTTCAGAGAGAGTTTGCTAGAAGAAAAACTAAGTCAGAACTTCAAGTTTTCTCCACCAGACTGGAATCTTCCCAAATTCACCCTAATCTCTTATTTTCCAGATAGAGCACATTTTCTTAATCTACTATATCACTGTGGTAAGAAGTAGTTTCTATAAAAGGGTGCTCATTAATAAACACTTAGCTCTTATATAACTCTTCCCACTGCAAGACTGGCTTTTCAAACATTAATTAATCTTCCCTCACATTCCTATGTGGAAAATATTACCCTCATTTCACCGCTGAAAAAAGAGAACCACAGAGGGGCTAAGTGACTTGCCCACGCAGTGATCCTTTGTCATTACCAGGATTAGAATTCATGAGTTCTCAATATCCAAACTGGTGCTCACACCACATCTTTCTCATTCTGTAAGCTGACAAAAGCATAAGGAGAACTGGTTCTCCCAGTTTGAAATGCATGCTGGTGATTATGTTCTAACTCTATGCAGCTTGTACATAATTAGTGAGAGTATGCCTTTCATAAACTTTGCTAGGTGGCTTTGCCTTTCTTTCAGTAGCTTTGCCTTTTTGTATCTTTAATTTTCCTTGCCGGATAGGCTCATCATCCTTGCATGTGGTAGATTTCATCCTGATTCTCAACATCGGGAAGCTGACTTGATCTTTAATTAGGTAGCCAAGCCCAATGAAAACAGCAGGAGTTTATAGGATGTGCCCCACTCCAACTCCTACATTTAAGGGCATATTTTGCTCTAACCTGATGTGAATGCCATCTCAGGAATAGCCTGGGTAAGTAAGCAGTAATAAGGCAGTGCAGATCAAACATCACAAATGGGGAGGAGGGGGAGAATCTCTTAGGCTACCGGATTGAAACAAAGTTATGCAACCATGCTATGGAAAAAAAAAACTAATTTGCAGGTAGTTCAATCAC